CAAAGTAATTGACCACTCGTGGCTGCAGCTGAAGCTGTGCAGAACCACAGTGGTTGTATTATAGAGTAGCTTTGGATATTGACTTTAGGATCCATATTTCTATTTTATGTAATAATTTCTCCTAATATTATAAAATACTTGGCAGCTACTTTTGTCTGAGTATCCCCTGTGTGTGTGTATATTCTTTGTATATGTTTTACCATACTAATCACTTTACCTTGAATGTTGAATTTTTCTGTGCTTGTAGCAGACAGTCCTTTCGTCTTCCCCACTCCAGGACTGGGACATAGAGAGTCCGGTCTCTCTCATGAGCATATTTTTCCACCCTCCTGAATTGGTTTCATGTCTTTATCATGTCCTACTCCTGCTTTCCTGGTTCTTGTCTTTTTTTAAGCAGATTGTTTTGCTTGTAATGTTTCCAAAATGACTGCTCATACTGTACATTAGAGGAAGAATACCAAACAGTAAAATGGATAGACAGCTTGTTTTGTCATTTCTAATTATAACTGATGACAAAAGAAAGTGAAAATTCTTTTGTCAGAAATCTTGTAAGTGGACTTGCATTTGAATTAAAGCCGAAAATGCAAACTTTTCTTTCTGAGATTGGGGTCTGGTCTTTTGTAGAGCCACAAAGTTGCATGGAGATGAGATGGTTCTTTGAGTGCAGTTTCATAATTGGCATAAATTCATCATGGAGCGGGGTCAGTTCTCCACCTCCCACCTGCATGTTCCTGATGCCTCCCTTCTGCATTATTGTTTGTATAGTAGCAAAAACCTCTTGAATAAGACGAAATTTCAGGATTTGGATTACCTTTCTTACCTGGCTGACCATTCAGCCCCGACTGCAAGCGTTGGGACAAGGGAACAGGGCAGACCTGCGTGGCCAGGAGGAGGACAGAACTGTCTTTCCCAGTGTGAACTGGAGGCAATTTGTGCCTGTTGTGAAACTGTGCCCTGACCTCGTTTTGAAGAGTACAGTTCTGTTTTTCACTTGGTGTGTAATGACTTTCCAAGCAATGAATGAAAACAGCTCTGCTGGAGACTAACTTAAAAGAAAAAGAAAAAAACAACCAAGTTTTTCTGGCTCCTTCTGTAGGAACAATGATTTTTTGACAGTGTAAATCTCTTATCTCCATCTAAAGCATGAGAAAAGAAGCCAGGTGTGTTGGGTGGTAAATTACCCTGCTTCTGCCTGATTTGTATGCAGTAAAGAAAATGCTCCTTAACAATAAGTGAGCAAGCACTAATGTAACGTTAAGAGATGATTTGCATTAGTGCAACTATGGAAATCAAATGTTTAACATGTCTTCTGCAACGTACCATCTGTTTAGCCGTCCCATTGCAACAAATCTATCTAGGCTGTTCATAGTGGCTGTCCCATCGAGGCTGAGAGTGCTTACAGAGGTATATTTTTGGGGGTTCTCTCTGAGAAGAAGGGGAGCTGTTTTCTTCTGCTTAGCTTTGTTGCTTTCCTTTAGAGCTTGATAGAAGCAGAGCACATGCACTGGGTAATAAACGCTAGCTCGTTCTGTCTCCGCTGGGTCCTCAATGGAAAGAGCCCAGTAACAAGTGTGTGGTCTCAGCAAGAAGTAGCTTTGGAGACAGGTTCCTGGTCCTGTTCCCAGTTCTGTGTTGGCTCATTTGTAAGCCACTTAACCCTCCTGCCTTTATTTCATTTTCCCCTATCTCTGTAAGTGCCATCTGACAGGGATTCTTGACTAATAAGGCATTCACTATTTCTGAGTTGGTTTTTAGAAAAAACATCGGGGAATTTAATCAGAGAAGGAAGTTGAGGGGCATATATACATTCTGAAACAACTCCCAACACCAGTGGCTCTTTCATGGGCTTTTTTAACCTTCATTTATATCACATGAGTTTTATGCACTTCAAAATAGCCAAATGGCGCATTTCAGAAATCCTGTTCTCAAACTCTTAGGCCCTTGGAACAAGACTAGTCCCAAGGGCAGAGTTTCAGCTGCAGCTTTGGGTTTATTTCTGTCAGGTAGAGCTCAGTGCATATATTGCTGTCTTGCATGTGTCTCTTCCCTCTCCTTTTGTGTTTATTAACATGTCATGTTTATCATAAGCCTTACTACGTTAAACTTGCATGACCGAAATACCGCTTCATGTCATAAAGTTGTGGTAATCATATTGTGTGATTGCGTTTTTAAAAAGTTGATTTGAGGGTTGTGTACTATGACTTTGCCTGTAAACAAGTGTACAGGCTTTTGGTTGAAGGGAGGAGCTTTCTGTCTTACCTAATGTGCCATCAAAAATGTGCTTACAAACCAAAAGGAGATGTGCACAGACTGTCAGCCTGAATTGGTGGTGTGGGTGGCTCTTGGCAAAGCGTATGAGTCTCTGAAACTGGTGAGGAAATTTTTAACCGTGGTGTCACAAACTTGATGCGTTAGCAACAGATGTCATTTTCATAAGCCTCTGCTCTCTTGGGGAGCACAGCATGCGAGCGGTATTCACAATCTGCATGCAAAACGCACAGTGGTTGATGGCATGAAGTCATGTCTTTTAATACACACTGGCTAGAAGAGCACCTTGGTGTAACATTGTGAAGCTTTGGCTTTGGGGCTTAATTAGACCAAGACGACGGAGCTCCGTGTTGTGCATGGAAAATCTGTTTTGAAGAATGTCGATGAACTGAAAGTCAGAGCAACCATTCTGTTAAAACAATACTTAGCTCTTGCCCCATGTGGTTGTATTTGAGAGCTGAATGCTGATGCAAGTGAAGTGAAATAGGAGAATCCTATGCTTTCCATCCTTTTTCTTCTGTCTTTCCGTACATGCAAAAAAATAAAATTCAGAAGGGGCGTGAGCTCTGCTACACTGGTAGGAACTATTTCAAATTAGTAAGATAAAATGTGACGGCTCTGCTAGTGTATAAAGACTTCATCTAATTTGAAGTCACCTGGGGACAAGAGCCTCATAGTGCATGAGGGGCATTTAAGCCTAGCAGTCATTTTTTAAATGTTGGGGAAGGTGATAGTTCCAAAAAAATGAAGGGGGAGTAACATAAAAAAATTCACATTGACAGCAGTGTGACTTAGACAGGAGAGAGGAGTGTGTCTGGCCTGCTGTCTAGCTCTTACGCTCTGCCAGTATTTGAGCATCACCAGCATGCCTGAACAAAGAAAGAACTTGCGCTGGTCCCTCAGCTTTTTGGTGAGGTATAAATTTATTGGTATCTGGGGGGGCACGGGGAAACAAAGGCACCAAAAGCTGTGGCTTTGGATGAGTCGGCATTTCCATTTGACATGATCATTCAGAGATTTTTGTAACTCATCCAAAAAAAAAACCCAACAAACAAAAATCCAGCAACCTGGGTCTCAGCCTGAAATTCATTTGCTTTGGAGAAACAAGAGGTTTTGAGTTATGCAAGTGCAAATTTTCCTTGAAGAATATTGTATGTAAAGCCTTTTTTTTGCATTTGTTTATCTCCAAAACAGGTTCATTTTTTAAAATGAAAACTTGAGCCTTCGGTCCCTCCTGTGGACAAATAGCCTTACACAAGGTCTTGTTTCATTTTAGAAAAATGAATTGCTGCGCCGGTGGGGTAGTATTTGATTGCTTTAAAAGTTCCTGTCAGTGTTTTATTTTTGTTTTTCGTTTGTGGACTTGCTGTGCCTTTTGCCCGGCCATATTTAGTCTGCATACTAAATGTTAGTCCGCCCAAACACTTTACTTTGTGCACTTAGCTTTTTTCCTTTTTTTTTTTTGTTTTTTTTTGTTTTTTCTTTTGCTTTCACCCAGATGTATTTTAGACCGAGACAGACTTTGCTCCGATGGGCCGGATTTTAGTCCGTGCACTAAATTTTAGTCCGCAGACTAAAAATAATCCGCGGATTATTTACTAGATTGATTCCCTCACTGAGAACTACAGAGACATTAAACTCCTGCTGAGCTGTACACACGAGGGGCTTCACGGCTCACGGGTCCCACCGTCTGTCCATCCTCCCAGCCCTTCCCGCCATGGAGCTCCGGCCTGGCATTGCCTTGGTGTTGGCGCCCCGTGGCACGGAAGTGCTGGCGTAACTGTTGCCGCCGTGGGTGGCAGCCGCTCGTGTAGTTCTCGGTGGGCGAATCGGGCAGCTTTCCCGGTGAAACTGTGTTGAATGGGAAGAGCTAAAAGACCGCAGGGGGTTTTGCTTTTATTTCTTAGGGCGTTATTCAAAAGGGAGGTGGGAGGGGACAAATTGAGGGGAAAAAAATTTCTTAAGTAATGGGTGCGACGGGTATGAGGGGGAATAAACCCGTAATAGAGAGAAATTCAGTCCATACCCGCACTCCTGAGGTGGTACGTCCAGTTCCTGAAGAATCCTAAAGAGATAACGCCAGCAAACAAAATCCAGTGGCGGGGGAAGTCAATCCAAAATGGAGAATAATCCGCGGCGGCCTGAGGCACTCATAGTTCACACAAATTAAAAGCATCCAAATTCAAAGTACAGATCTCGGATTTTTACTTTCTCTTCAGCACAAATTATAAATTGCTAGGGGGTTGGTTTTGGGGGAAAACCCCAAAACCACCTTTACATTGTGTCTCTGGGACAGATTTACAAGTGGGATGCGCCTTTGGGGACAAACTAATTTGGCCCCATTGTCTGTGGACGTTTATATCCAGGACCAAGGACTGAAAATTCTTTATGATGGGAATTTCAATTACCCTTTTAGTTCAAGTTAGAGTTTTGATTTCAATTTTTTTTATTTTTTTAGTAAATGCACTGGCATTGGAACATAAATTTAATATAGAAATGTTTCTATACTATGCCTCACCATTGCACAATCGAATTTTTTTGGCATACACTGTGGTGAAGTTGGACTTGCTGCTATGGAGACTGATGTTTAAAGTTTCTAATTGTATAAACATTTTCTATGTCCCCCACACCATGGATTTCTTATAATATTGGCTATATTTTTCCTTGCTGGACTATTCTCTTTTGGATTGACTCCCCCTGTTTGGATTATTTCACTGCATTATCATCTTTAGGACTCGTCAGGAACAGGACATTTCACCTCAGGAGTACGGGTATGTACTTAAAACATTTTTTCAAATTACTAGGCCTAGCCTTGGGGGAAAAAAGGAAAAAAAAAAAAAAGCATAAATGCTAGAAGTGGAATGTTTGAGTTCAAACCATGTCCTTGAGGCAGCAGCCAGGCAAATGTAACACAAGGTGATAGAGATGATATGGGCACAGACCTGTAACTGACTTCATGTGTTAGTCAGCACTTGTTGCAGGGGGAGGCCGTGTGAGGCCTTCTAATTTATTTATTTAATTCCACCCCCACCCCCCCATTCCCTGGTTTGAAGCAGTTAGGGCAGACTTCGGGAACTGCCTACCCTGAGTGTTCAATTACAGATCCAAAGACAGGCTGAGCCGTTCTCAACAGGGTGTAAGAGACAGATGTTAGGGTTTCACTGACTTGAAAACGAGGAGTTTGAGTTAGATACGAGTACTCCTTTTACAGAGGGCAGATTTGTGACTGTCTGCCTCCTGATTTGGTCAAGGTAAAGGCTTGTTGTCTTTGTCTTAAGGAAAAAAAAGATTTTTTTTTTCTTTTTAAAATCTTTGTAGTAGCTGATAGGTGAGCTGTCCTGAGGAAAAAACACAGCTAAGAGTGAAGTACTTCAGTTTCAAGCCTGTGGTAAATCAAGCTTGTTATGACATCAGTGTGAAGGTGCATGAGGGAGACCTCAGTAGTTTTACCTCATGTTAAATACCAAGTGACTTCACTTCTGTAGATTTACCTCAAGACATACTCATTTGTGCTACTTCCCATGGAGTAAAAAAAAAAAAACAAAACAAAACAAAAAACCCTAGTGGGTTTTTTTGTTTGTTTGGGGGTTTTTTTGTTTGTTTGGTTTTTTTAATTGGAGACAGTCTTAGGTTTTGTTCTGGTCATGCTGTGACTTGGGAGTGATACTTGCATCCAGTGTGCACTGTGATCAGCAGTCTGAGCTCTGCCGGCAGTGGATGCAAAGCAGCTTCTGCTGCCCTTCCGTGAGACCATACGGTCACGGCACAGTGGTCAGCAGAAGTTCTCTGCCAGCAGTGTTAAGCTAAAGCCTTTCTTTTTGTCATTATAGGCCTTGAGGGAAAAATTTTTTGGTTTGTTTTGCAGTAACCTAGTAGTAGAAATAAATTCTGCTCTTTCAGTACCTGGCTCTTTGACTCCCCTAGTCAGGGTTCCCTGCCACATAAGTTAGTACAGCACACACTGCAGCAAACCTGGTGCTCCTGAGCCAGCTGGGTGCCAAGGGGATAAAATTTCAGTCCCTGGAGAACTTAGCCTTTGTGTTTGATTCTTATTCAAGAGAGCATATGTGTCTTTGGTTTAAAACTTAAGGAATGCCTGTGCAAGTTCCTCATCTGCAATTAATCAGCATGTCGTGCACTGAATTTTTTTGCTCCTTGGTGCTGTGTGGCTTGGGTTCACCTGCACTGGTGCAAAGGCATTTTGGATTAGCTCAGTTGTTACCAAAAATGCTGGCATCAGAATTTAACACTTGCACCAACCCCACTCCCTTTTCCTCAGTCTGCATACCGCCTGCAACATAGCAAAAGACAAGTGTTTCAGGAGGCCATCCAGGTCATGTACATGATTAACTCATATTTTGCTTTTGACATAATGAGAAAGGAGGATGGGAGTGTGATTAGCGGTGGGTAGAACGGTTCTTAGAGGTTTGAAACAAAGCTGCAGTGAAGAACTCCCTTTTTGTAATCACTCAAGGTAAAAATCTGTTAGAGTAAAATAGTTGATTCTCTTGATGCAATTTTCAGCTGTCCTTACAAACACCAAATGTGCAGGAACTATCCCAGTAAACTTAAGGGTATGACTTGCCAGAATAAGGTCACAGAAGGAGTAACTTGCAAATTAGAACTAGATGTTTCCTGCACCCCACCCAAGCTTTCCTTGTTGTTCTCCAAAGTTGAACAGCAGCCTCCATAGCAACAATCTGACCTGCCTGCTTGCAAAAGTCCATGTTAGTTAAGACTTCATTCACTAGCCAAGAAAAAAAAACGCAACCTAAAACCATAGTGGGGGCCTTATTCAATTTTTATGTTCAGTGAATCCTGCTCATTTGAACCCTCCTCCCCACCTTCACTCCACCCCATATGCATGGCTGGTAGCACCTGTGTGTGTTTATCATGATTTTTGAATGAGTTTCCTCTTCATTCTTAAAGTTGTTTTTCTGAGTGCGCTCTCATGAAGTCTCTTGCTGGCATTGCACCTTCACTCTAGTGCAAGATGTTGCAATTAACCCTTTCTCAACCCCAGGAACTGGATTTTCCCATACTTACTGGAGGACTTTGATTATCACAAACCACAAGTTTGTTCCAGCTTGTTGGGCAATGAGAGGTTTAATTGCTCTGACTTGCTTCTGGTCAGCAAAGAAAAGAAACATACCCAGACAACCTGTTCTCCTTGCTTGTTGGTTGTTGTTTTTTCAGGTCTTCCGGCCCCGCACTCCACCAGAAGCAATTGCGCTATGTAGCCGTCTGTTGGAGTACACCCCCACTGCCCGCCTGACTCCTCTGGAGGCCTGTGCGCACTCTTTCTTCGATGAACTACGGGACCCAAATGTCAAGTTACCAAATGGGCGAGAGAAACCTGCACTCTTCAATTTCACCACTCAAGGTAGCCTGTGAGCGTTGAAAGATCCCTTCTTTAGGAAGAAGCACTGGGATAAATGTTTGTTGTAATGCAGATGTCACTCCCTCAAAATTAAAAATCTCCAGGCAGGACTGAGGTTACTAAGCAGTTGCATAACTGGCTGTCCATTTCAAAAGGAGAGGAAAGAGACTTGGAGAAATGGCTTCTGGGATTTTCAGGTGCCTGGTGCTTTCAATTCAAATTTCATGAGGGTACTGAGGGTTGTTACTGTTCTGTTGCATCACGAAGGCTTAAGTTTGCAGTTCAGTGTCTGCAACCTAGCTGATGGTTTTGTGTGAAATACCACAGTCAGTGGACCGTGGAGATTAGATTATCATTTTGGAGATGATCCTGCTCCTTCATACCTGAAAGGCTATAGCAAGGAGTAATGCATATTAGGTTTGGCAAAGAGGTTTGTAACGTTGCTGCCTATTTGGTTCTGGATGTGAGATAAATACAGAGGCTGTAGTGTCCAGATTTTATGTGCTGTACAGTTCATCTGGCATTACATTGACTCAGTCATTTAGAAACTGTAAAAATGATGGACAAGTAACGTTTTTATTTGAAGCCAGACTGGTATCAAATTTTAAAACCATTCATGTATTTTTTCCACAGAAGTCAGAAATGTAAAACTGATATCCCCCCGAGAACAGTTTTGCCTTCCAAGACAGAAAATGTGAGAAGTATGGCATACAAATATGCTAGTAATTAATTTTGGAGCGCGCTTTTTAAAAGTGATTAGCTGCCAATTCTCACCCTTTGAGCAAGAATAGATCTGAGTGCATTCTCTGTTGAAAGTCTGAAACACCTTTTGGCTCAGTTATCGTTGGTGTAATTTTTCAAACTCTTTACTGCATGCAGTGCCCATCTGCCAAAATGTGAAACCAGAGCCCTCTCCTTCAACATGTGGAGGCCTTTTATTTAAAAAAAAAAAAAAAAAAAAAAAAAAAA